TTACTTGGATCATACATGCAAATCCACTCTTCAATATCCATAAAAATATATGTACATATCACACATATTATACATATACGGTATAGGCCTAAATATACATAATAAAAATAATCAAAAATAATAAATAATGATAAATTAGTAATAACATTAATATTATTTATCGCCCAATATCAGTGTTTTCCCCCTTATAATATTCCTTACATATTATCTTTTTTTAATATTTATTTTATTTACTTATTATCTCGTCCAACAGCAGAAAACAACCTGGATAGAAATATATTTTTTAAGCATAGGGATGGTATAAGTGACGCTAAATTTGGCCTCCAAATTAAAGCTTGCACATTATTGTTAAGCGACTCGTAGTTGAGACATTGTACGCCTATGAAAGTCGATACCGTTTTATAACTCCCTACTACTTTGTTAATCAAACGTAGCCTTGTATGTTTGTTATAAACAATTATTTCAGAACATTACTATAATTTCACGGGCGTTGGTTAAGATCGACTGCCGAATACGATTATTAGCTCATTTAATTTAATATACTGTAACCACTAAGTCATCTAGTCGTAAGGCTGAGTGCAGCTACAGTGTTTTCGTATTTTCACGCGAGTACCTCACGAATATAATTCCCCAGCCCAGGCGAGTGTCCATTACTCGGCCAGTCGACTAATATGGAATGTCTGTAATTATAAAAGGCCCCTAATTACGAATTATTTGTTTCTTACCTGCACCGAACAATCAGGCATATGTATCGTATCCTAGCAATGCTACAATTTCTAATACTTTTTAATAAGGACAATGTGCTTGGATGTCACACTTTTGGCTTCGATCTGACACACAACAGGTCAATGACGAAAGCTGAACACAATAACATTTTACTCTTTCACAGAGATGTATTACGGTAGCGCTGCATTTGCATTGATATAGAAGGTATCATGCACGAGTAAACGCAGAGAATACAGACATTTTGGCAACGCCCATAATTATAAACACTTTGTTCGAAGGTGTAATGAAATCCTATGAGTGAGGGCCTACTGTTGGTAAATAGAATGAGGGATCT